AGCTACTTTAATTCAAAAATGCAAGGTCATCTCCATGCATGCTCGGGGAGATATTCAGCCTCTACAGAGGGCCAGCAAGGGATCCATGGGGCTCTTTAGTCATGCTCAAGTGCTCCTATGAAGCTTTAAGTGGTGTTTGGACCACCAGATGACCCTCTGCACAGGCATATACTCACTGCAGTGCACCAGGAGTGCCTCGTAAGGAGTGCCCCCTTTATACCGTAGTTAGGATAATTGTAAAAGTGTTTTTCCCATGCAAACCAAATATGAAACAAGAAGTCACGAAGCTGCTCAGAGTTCTGGAAGTTTGAACAGTTTGCCTTTTCCTGAACTGATAATCACCTGTGCTCAAGAGGCTGGGCGGGTTTCGCGTGGTCACCTGTTGCCTACCTATTACTGCTAAGAACAAGCAAAATCGTTCCCAGGCAGCATGTGCAAGAAAAAAGAAGGAAAAAAATAAAAATGTACCTCATAATGATATTAAAGTTCCATTCTTTCATTTGCAAGAACTCACATTTTAAAGAAAGAAGAAATGAGTATCAGGAGATAAGGAACCATTAATGAGCCCTCTGCCTTGGTTTCAGTTACACTGTGAAATTAATTTAATGCACTTTAAGAATACAAGAGGTAATCGCTCTCTCTTGGTGAGAGGTTGCAATTTTCTCTAATAAAGTGTCAATATAAATATGTTGCTTTAAGACAGGGAGAACAAGTCAGTTAATTCAGAAAGAATGGGACATATTAAAACAAATGCTAGCAAGGAAACCAAATGGCAAAACTAATAAATAAACTAGCTGAATGAAAATTGTACGGCAGAGAGCTGGTAAATCGGGATTTAATTAGAAACTTATTTTTAAAGAGTGTTTTATGGTAATGTTACACATCCAAGTGACTAATGCTGTGAAGGACAACATTTCTCCAGTAATTTAAAAAAAGTGGAGCATCCCATGTGAGGACAGATGGTTATGGCTGGAAGTGGTAAGAAACCTGAGACCAACAAACCTGAAAATAAATACATACGTAGATACAAAAGGTTAATAACGCTTGTGGATTTAAAACATGCTGGCAAAACGTGAAATGGCTACACAGACTGGACAAACGCAGAGAGCTTTCTGATGGATGGTCAGATGTTACCATAGCAAAGGCTGACGATGAGTCCCTGCCACTGGCCCTTGCCACCGGCATCAGCCAACCCTTACATTGAGACACTGGATGGAGGAACATGTGCTTGCCCAGCTGGGCATCTATTAGCTCTGCTTTAGAGGATGCGCTCCTGGTGTCATGACCTACTGCTCTGAAATGCTGACACCCCCCCTCACCCTGACATTGAATAGGCCAATACATGAACATTTGAGAGATCTTTCTTGCGACCACAAGAATCAAGTTCATCTGAACAGGAGCAGCAGGCAGAAAACCATGCAGAACAGTGCACCGCTGGGAGAGATGGGAAGCAGCTCCTGCATGGAGCTGAGCTGAACTGAAACAGGGTTGATCTGAACAGTCTATTTCTGGCTAAAAGGGAAGGAGAGAAAACTGGGAAATCTCCAAAACTCTCTTTAATGGACTAAAACACTTTTTAGAGAGATGTCTACTTTCATTTTCTTGGTTTTGAGGCAATGGGACATACAAAGAAAATTGCCTCCCAGTCTGCTGAAGTAGCAGCCTCATGTATCTCTCAAGTAATTAAAGCTACTCAGCTTCTGAACAGGTGCCTTGCAGCAACACCCAGGATGTGTTATAATCCCCCAGTAACACACTGCCTAACACATTTTATTGCCTAATTACTCCCACACTCACGTTTACTGCCCTTGTTAATCCAGTACTTCAAGAGAATACTTGCTTTGCTTAAACATGTCTTGATCCTAATCTTCCTGTCATTGGTGTAAATCAGAACTCATTTCACTAACGTTAATGGAGCTACTGCAGTGTCAAATGTCTAGGAATGGAAAAATTAGGCCTATAGCCCAAAATGAACATTTAGTCTGGCACCAGTAGTACGTATTTATTTTCTTGCGTCAAAACAAAATATGCTTTTTCTCTGGTACCAACTCAAAGCGGAGCTTTTAAGCTGTCACTGTTGAGATTAGACCCCACTCCAAGAAAGGTGGTTTTTTTTCCTCTTACCAAAGACACCACAGTGGTATCTTTGCTGGCAGCTCTGAAGATTTCGTTCAAGGCAGACCACAGGTTTGCTCATTCTCTCCACAGAAAGACAACGATGCACATAAAGGCGAATACAGGGCAATGTCATTAAAGATAATCAATATAATGAGTAGACAGAAGACAGCACAGACACAGTAGATCAGCTAGAACATCCCAGCTATCAGCCTTTGATCAGGTCACAATGTTATTATCGTTTCATGAGTGTCTCTGTCCATTGCCGCACAGCAGGGAGAGGGCAGATACAACACCCCTCTTCAGGGGCTGGGACGTGGAGTGTCTGAGTCCTTCTATTCATATGGAGTTAATGTATGGTGGGAATTCAGCCTCATGACATATGGAAATCTGAAACTATGGGAAAGCTCCAAACCACAGACCCACAGTATTCAGCTATTGCTCAGCTGCTTATACTTCACAGGTGCCAGCAATGGAAGATGCTGTTACATTATCAAGACTACAAATTCCCTTGTGATGCTACCTTTCGTGTGAGCTGCAGGCCATATTGTACCCTTCCAGAGCTAAAACTGCATAAAATTAGCCACAGCTGTGCATATTCCACTGTCCTTGCTAATGGGTCAGGCACTGAGAAATACAACATTGCAATTCACAGAGTGAAGACAAGAAAAAAAAGAAAAAAAAATCCGCAGAGATTTCCACACTCCATGTATAGAAATAAGACATCTGCCTATAAATCAAAAGTGATATCCATTGAGACAGGGAGAACACTAGAACTACCATAACTTCTTGTCCTTTTCCATTCATGTCAATCAAGAAAAATCCTAAAGAATAAGATCACCAAAAAACAGTGGCTCTAGGCATCCTCAGGCTATACCCATCTCTTTTATATCTCTTAGCAAATTAATATTAGTAAGAGATCCTTTTTAAAAAAGAGATGACTTTCTGAAATGACAGGATGAGGGTAGCTTATTGACCCTTCCTGGTGACCTAACAGGTTAATGAAAATTAAATCGGTTTGCAGAAGTCAACTCAAGGTGAAACACTTATGTGACTCTTTTCTGAAGTACTCAAATCAGGCAGTGCAAATCAAACGGTCATGCAAGAACGGGACTTTTCAAGCTACACAGGTTTTTATTTTTCTTTGAATAGTCACAGAGCAAAATCTTTTCTGCTAGCATGACAACATTCTTCCAACTTTTTTCAACTCCAGAAAAAGGAACAACTGAAATGAAAGAAACTACAGGTTTCAAAAAATGCATTATTCCTGCCTCTCTGATCTCACGAAGTGACCTTTAGTCATGCTCTGGGAAAACCCTGGGGAGACTCACTTCACCCAGACTCGTCTTACCCAGTCCTGTTCCTTCCATTTCTACCACCAGAAAGCCAAAATAAGGTATCCAAAATGGTCACTTCACTACCAGCTGGAAAAACTGAGGAGGAAGGAGGGGAGACTGAGACACATAGAATGTTTGTAACCCAGAGAAATGAATTAAATACGGATTTTACGAGGAACTTTTAGAAAGGAAAGCAACAAGAGGATATGGGGAGCACCAGAGCCACAGATGAAAGGGAGAAAGGGGAGAAATGGCTCATCCTCCTTGGCTTTCAGTGGTGACACAACTGCTTACAGCCCTACCAGTTTGCATATCAGGTCTCAGCAGTGAAAACAGCTGCATGGGTGGGAACTTCATGCAGCACCTACCACCCCAGTGCATGATTTTCTGTAACAGACTGGGGGATGTCTCCATATAAAGACGAAAAAAGTCCTCTTCTGCTACCCAGCAACTGTTAGCTGGGGCTTCTTTGATCCCTCTCAACTCCGCTGTAAGTGCAGATGCAGAAGTGATCAGGAGAAAGTACCTAGAAGTAATTAACTTCTGTTACTGCCACAAGACAGATAGGAGTGAAAAGAATAGAAAAAGTGAGATGGTGCCTCAAAGAAGGTCGTAGGCTCCTGCCAATTTTTGTTCAACTCTGGAAAGACTCCACAGGCAGTAATGCAGTTATTCCACATTTCAGCAAAGTAGCAAGAGCACAAGATGCAACCCTGAGTTTTGGAAATGGAGAGCTACCTGTAGTATGGCCCATGGCAATTACCCTATCATTTCCTTAGAGCTCATTTTGACACTTTGTCTTGTGTGGAAGAAGTCTCTTTACAGCTACTCTTCTGTTTGCATTACAAGTAAATTGCTGGCAAAGGAGCCCCTGGGGTGATTTTGAAGTCCTTAGAAGAGTTGTTAAAAGCAACTCCAAGAAGGAACCTGGACAATGCCATCCCCAGTCCCTCAAGAGCTACACCTTGTGAAGCAACCTGGGGATCGGAGCATTGCATCTGAACAATATTTGTCTTGGGTTTGCTCAGTCTGGTCTATTTGACTTATCAGTTTGATCTATTCTGAACTAATAGCAATAAAAATAAGGAGCGTACTCTACTCTGTTGAGTTATACCGTGAAAACGGTGTGATGTAAGAATTGTGCCCCGCTGTGTTCAAGGTTGGGCTCATGCGAGATCTCCTCGTACTTATCTACTTTATAAAGTTGTGGAGAGAACAAAGTTAATAGGAAGCTTTTTCAGTGACATTCTGTCAGTAGCAAGAACAGTCCTCAGGACAGGAAAGCTGTCGGCAGAATAAAGGAAAGGAGGAACCACAGAGAGACAGATACCCTGTCTTAAAAAAATGAGAGTCCACACATATAGTGTAGTGGTTCTGGAAATTTTTGTTCTGCCTTTGTAATCTTCCTTAAAAAAAAAAAAAAAAGAAAGAAAGAAAAGAAAGAGGCTTGTTCTTTTTCTTTGAATAGTAACTGTAATCAAATTGTGTCACCACTGCAGCTTTTACATTACTGGCATTGTGCTTTGCAGGAAAAGGAGGCCCACATACCTTTTGTTGCCAGCCGGACACAGTTGATTTTTGTTTCCTGAAAAACAAACAAACAAAAAAAAATAGGAAAACATCAAGGTGTGGAATTTGACCATCTACAATAAACATACATGCCTTTAAAAAGATACTAAAAGAAATAAGCATTTTTCTTACACTTCCATCTCTGAAAACACCACCAACAGTTCTAGTTGCATAAAACACTCCATACTAATGGACTTGCATACGGCAGCTTCTCTAACTGTTGAGAAGTTAAGAGTGACAACATGTTTTTCCACACTCGATGTGTGAGTGATGGGTCCCGTGTAACTGCCTGATTAACTCACAGAATTTACCAGTTAAATGACCTGATCTTTAATAGGCAGACAAGCCTTGGGTCAAAAGTACATGCAACTGTACATCTAATTTTCATGCACCATTACTGCAAATTTTGCAAATTGGGTATTTATTTAAACACATGGCAAACAGACACCAAAGTAGTCATTTGAATATTTCAGCTCTCTTGTATGTATGCGAAGCAAAACAGCATGCTGTATGGCTAGCCCTGCCAAATGAGCTATTCAAACACAACCCACACCACTGCAGTTTTTCATTGCAGAGCTGGGATAAAACCCAACGTTTTTGTTCAATCCACCTCAGAGCTCGGAGATCTGCGTAAACAGGAGTTTGGATCGGAACAGCAATGTTGTATTTGGCTTAACTAAAAGCTTGAACTCGGCAGCCCTCTCAGGCCACTTCTGCTGAAAACACATCCTTTCTGGTATCCCCAGTTCCTCATTCTACAGCCCTTGCTGGCATGGATTGCTTCTGTTCGATGCATGATTCCCGTCCAAATCTTAATGTGTTGCTTTGGTTAAAAAGCTGACTTTGTCAGGCAGTAATCTGCTGCAGGGTTTTCTTAGCACTTGATGTCTTTACATGCTCTTGAACGTGTCTCAGGTGTAACGAATACTGCATAAATTACTGTGCGTAACAATGCTACATTAGTATGGATGCTGTCTGTGCTCTGGAAACAACAGCCTAGCAAATGCACTGCTGAGCACCTCATTCCATCCTCAAGCACTAAGATGAACACTGTGAAAGCCTGAATTTGCTCTTGGAGAAAATCTGTTCCACCTGCGACAGACCTTCCCAGCCTGAGCAGAAAAACACGGTCCCATCGTCCCTTCCTCCTCGCTTCCTCATGTTGCACGTAGGAAGGGGAAAATTGCAGGATCCACACTGGGAAAATGCAAGAGCGATTCCCTCTGATCCCTTTCTATGCATTCCTCAAGATACAAGTCAGCCACACTGTCTGGATATAAGTAACCGTGGACGTAGTCTAAAAACAACGAAATATTCAGGACAAACTGCCCCTTTGTTGATTTTGCCTTCAGACTGCCTTAAGGAAGTCCTGGATCACCGAGGACAAAGAGTGTCTGGGTCATCCTTCCCAGCCATACAGCCCCCAGAGCAGGACTGAAGCACTGTTTATCCCCGTAAACCAGAGGCATCTCTCTTTGATGCACTGACTCCTCTCTCCCTCAAAAATCACCTTCTCTACACAACCTGTACAACCGTCGGCACTGCAAAGTCAATGTAACTGTACAATAGAGCTCATCATTCACCTCTGCCTCATGTACAATCAACTCGAATTGCCAGCTATTCTGGAATTCCAAAATCTTTATTAGTAGTGATGATATATGAAGCAGGAAAAACATAGCTTTATTTTCAGAGCACTGCCTCAGCACATAATGCTGGGAATTTTAAGATAGGTGGATTCTGATGTAGTTTACAATCTAAGACAAGGTGACCTGGAAAATCAGTGATGAAAAATAAAATAAATAAAAAATATCAAGACAGCATTTTTGCAGTCTAAAAGTAGGTGGACACTTCCTCACATTTTGTTGTGGAAATTTTTTTTCTGTATTTGTTGCTTTCTGCTAGCTTCAAAGTGCAACAAAAAGCTGGAGAAATGAGTCAATGTTGAGAAAAGAAGAGGTGAGAAAACAAAAACTGAAATCTTGTTAATGATGCTGTAACTGATCTCATTTGAGCATGTGCGTATTCCTGCACATTACCCTCCCACAGGGTAATTTGGGAAGACAGGATGCAGTGTGTTCTGTTTGCATCTACAGCTACTAATTGCTGCATTTAGCAGACAATCATAGTTATTAGAAGACCATCATCTGGCTCTGCCAAAAGCAAGGGCAATCAATCATTAGAGGAACAAGACATCTGGACTTCAGAACTTCATTTCAAATTGCATCTTCTGAGAAGGAAAACATAAAAGAAACCTACACAGACACCAGACATCCAGCTACTAGGGATGCTAAAGTTTCAAGACTTGAACTTAGTCCATATTCCTGATTAGGGCTGATTACTCCATTGATTTCCATTGATCACCTCATTGATCAACCCACTGCTCATCTCTTTGGTGTCTCGTAAAAATGAGATGTCTTTAAATTTACTCTATTTTTCTTTGATTGATGCTGAGAATTGTGAGTTTGTATGAACTTTTCTATAAAGAAAGAGAATACATAAACACAGGGGATTTTTTTTCAAAAAAAACAGTAAAACCATTTTCCCACAGTGACATTTGTTTTCTGAAAAATACTACTTTTGATTCAGACAAGGTGCTTTCCCGCCCACAGAAAAGCAAGATGCTTCTGTTTGGTCAATAGTAAAGCAAGAATAAACAACGTAGGTAATTCTCAATTATCCATCCAGATGGCTTAAAGCAATTATAAGAAAAATAATGAAATAGAGATAATTAAAAAGTTGTAAAAAAACAAAAATAATTTCCCCACATTTCAGTCTCCGTGTTGTTTCTGAACGTTCTTTCAAATGCTGTGATACCTAATTCCCATTTTGTGATATCACAGAAGTTTTACAAGGCCTTATGTCTGCAACAATCTTAATCATGACCCAAGATCCTACATGTTCAGCATAAGATACTGGTTTCGTATTATGGCTGAAGTCACAGGAATAATTCAATTTAAGATCCCACGAGCACTACTACTTCAGCTCTGTATCACTGCCAGGTTATGGCAGACATTTTCTATCCAAACAGTAACAGAACAATGTAGGCATATTTTAACCAAGATCCTGGCATAGGAAAACACTGCATGAATACATCCTACAGCTCTTGATCCAACCATCATTTTCCAACATGCTTCGTATCCAGAACGCTTACAGTGTATTAAGTAAATTATTAGTAAATTAACTAATTTTTTAAGTCCATACACCATGGACATAGACGAGGTGAGGATCGTGTTCTGGAGTGCTGGCAGGCTGTTCTGGAGGGCAGACCCAGGCCTATGCCTCTACCGCGCTGGAGACTCTCCACAGAGGACATGAACTGTGCCGAGAAGCTGCGTAAGCCCTCTCTGCCAACACAGCTCATGCACGCAGGCTTGAAACTACACACCATCAGCCTGTTTTAGCATCCCTCTGAATTTTCAGGGGTTTTTTTAAATGTTCTTTTAATATAGTTTGTTTCTTCCTTTTTCAAAAAAAGGGAGCTGACGTTGTCTACTAATTACTTAGGTTCCTAAACACATATTTCACACAAGTACACTGGATGATAACAAGATAAGTTCTGCCTCTGTCTCTTTAGTGTTTGGATAGGAACAATTTTCTGCAGAAAAGGGCTACGAGGGCAGCAGGACATATGTTTATGTGACAGCTGCATCTTCACAACCTAAAAGGGCAAATGATTTTTTTTTTCTTTTCTTTTAAAATGACAGCTTGTTGTTTACAGACTACGAACAACAATAAAAGAAGCAGAGCTTTTTCAACCATCTGTTTTCACACCCACAGTTTTTGCTTTCCTTTACTATTATTATGACTTTGCATTAGTTAAACAGCACTTGCCTTGTCTGAAGAACCACCTGCCAGCACCGCTGAGACCTGCTGTCCCCACGCCCACCGTTCGGGGCTGCCCTGCAACACCCACAGTTTCATCAGGCAGCTCAAACCGGGGACAGGCAATTTTAACTTTCGCTGCTGCACAGACAAGACAAGGAATTACCAATCTCCCACTTGGCCTCAGTTTCAACTTTAGCTCCCTGTGTCCCAGAGCTATACACTGAGCATGCTTGTTGGCAACCTGCTTCACAGAACATAGAAACCATGGTTCTGTCCACTGAACATCGTAAGGATTTGGATTTTTTTTGGTCCTCAACAAATTTCGCTCAAGTTCAGGAGAGCTTTAGGTCACGTGTTTCTTTTTCATCCCTCTGAAGCCAACTGTTTGCTGCCTTTAAAGTGAACCATGTGCATATGTCTGTGCAGGGTCAATGGTCTCCCCTGTAATTGCTATTGCCAGCTTAAGGAAACTGTTAATTCTCCAAGAGACTAAGCTAAACCTAGTATTGCCTTTCCAATTCTCAGCTATTTTTAGTATCTGTCTCATTTGGAGAAGGGAGGTTTAACAAAGTGGTTAGGGATTTTATTATTTACAATAGAAAGTTATTTCAATGATACATAGTTCATCATTGAACACCCATACCTCCCAAACTCTCAAATGTGAGGTAGACTGGACGATTTTATTTACGCTGTTGACAGAACTATCAGGAAAACCCTCAGGTCCACACACTCTGGCCCAAGATGGCCAAACAGATGTGGAAAGAGGGGCTTACAAAGAGTGAAGTGCTTCCACAGCTGCTTTATTTCCGCCCCAGCAGCTCCAACATGAGATTAAGAAGCAGTAAACATATGTGAACAAAACTGTACACCCAAAATCCTACTGAACACAGAGCTCCTCAAAGCTGTTGAACAGTTCACAGAAGCAACACAGGCAGCCTTGGTGCCACTTCATTTTTCAGAACGGGGCTCGTGCTGAACTAAAGTACCTCACTGTTTTTTTCATGGGCCATCTCTACAGGGATGAATCCCACCTCTCTGTTGACAGCTCTAGCCATACCTCCAAAACATCCCAGAAGAATGTTGCGTACTGCAAGTAGACCCGTCAGCATCTAGAAATCCAGCCCGAAGTCCCCTGATAATAATGAACTGCCTGATTGTGCATGTAGTACAAGTCATTAGAGAGGAAAAAAATCAATAAGAATCTCTGTAGAGTCTATCATTCCCTCAAAAATAATATTCTCATTGATTCCTGTGGTGCTACTTTTCACAATTCTGGCCTGAAAACATCATTCACCTGTTGGACCACCAGGCTGCAGGAGCAGCTGGCAGCATCCCCCACATCATCTCCTGCTGTGTTACAAAGGCTCCTGCCTTATCTCCCATTTAGAGGAAAAATGGCCAAGAGTTATTGATTGCAACTGTGCTGTTACAGATTTCATTTTATCTCAATAAGGTAAAATGCAACTGCAGGAAGGATTTTTAGGAAGCTCTGGTTTCTGAGCTGCTCAAAAATTCAGGCAGGTTTCACACAGCAGCCAAAGAACTCTCCCCATTTGCCCATGCAGCTGGATCACTTACCAGAGACTGTCACCTACGATGACCCAGATAAAGAACTTGGGGACAATAAAACCTGAAACATTTGACTTTGATTATTAAGTCGGTATAAGAGAATAACACAGTCTTGCCACCTTGGCCTCACCTTTCAGAGGCTTAAACACTGAAAGGGCTGGTGTTTTAAAGGGGTGAGCTGAGGGAGGCTTTTCAGACACAAAACGTCATGCTCTGTCAGGCAGCCATCTGTAGCAGCCGGCACCAGGACAACCAGCAAACATCAGTTAACTACCTGGATGGCTGCAACAGCGTGTGGGGAGATCCTGCCAGAGGAGAGCGCAGCCACTCGTCCATTCTTCTTCCTGTGTCACTCCTTGTGCTAACTCCGTCTAACAATTAATTGGTAACTAACGGTGCTTCTCACCCCCACAGTTACAAAGCCCAGAGCTTCTGTTTCCTTTTTCTCTTTTTTCCCCCTCTTACTTCAAACTCTGACACATTTCAGTTCAGCATCTGGCTTTCAACAGTCCCTAGGAGGGAAATTCACACAATTTGGAAGTGTTCTGTATCACAAAGCTGAAAACCATTCTGTTTCACACATGTTCTACTTAGACCCCTGTCTGGAAGCAACCCCATGTTGACCAAACTTCATGCAACTGTCCACAGAAAAGAATTCAGCCAGCTACATCGAACTCATTCAAACTCTCAAACAACAAGTACAACATTGCACAAGAGAAGGCAGAAAAGCTCGTGATCTGATTTTGCAGCAATTTGCCACACTTGTTTTGCATCCAGCTGTTAATTACGTTCCTTTCACTGTAACAATCACGGCTAATGGTTGCAGAGCAGACAAGAACACCAAATGAGCACAACCCTCCACGTACAGAGGAGCTGAAACAATGCACAACTCCTGTAACACTTCTACCTCCTCCTAATCAAGCTTTTTGACCAAATGCAGAATGTTTCTTCAAATTAAGCTCTCCCCAGAGTCCTATATTTCCAAAGGAAGATGTTCTGGTTCACTGCACAAAGGTTTCTTATTGCAGGTTCCAGGTGTGGAAAGCAGCTTCATCATTCCACAACTGTCAGTGATTAATGAAACTATAGAATATCCTAATTAAAAAGTGAGTGGCAATGTTCTGTTAAGTTTTTCATGTGCAAGGGAACATAAGGCTATATTTTAATTGTGCTAAATTGTTACTGTTTCAGATTTTTTGCAGATGTGCATTATCAAAAGTGCCACATTGCAGCTATAATTATTAGTAGGCTTTACAAAGACCAGTCAAAGCTGCTCAGGTTATGGACATAAGTGAAAAAAACAGAACACTCTTAAATACAAATTCTACCTGTACACAATTCTGGGAATGAAACAAAACTTATTATTTACAGCTGCAAAAGACTGGATGAAAATCAGACCCTAATGTTTGAAATGTGGGGCTTAAGGATTTTATCCAGAAACAAAATATTCCACAGAATATTCCACTCTTGGACACTTCCTCTATATTTTTTCCCATAGCACTGCACTTCAAGGACATATAAGCATATACTGTGCCAATATAAATTATTAACACAAGAGGCAATTACTTGCTCAAAGAGGAATTCTCTTTGTCTGGCAGGATACTTCTCATGCCGTCATAAACTCTGTACTGTTGCATACAGACTCTCTTGATTAACTTATGCTTAAAAAGTCTTTTGCAGCCTTGTGTTCCTATTAGAACAGCCCAAGCGAGTCACCCTTTTTTGAGTCCTTATCGCCTTGTATGTAGAGAGTGTGATGCAACCTGCCAGCTCCAGAGATCCAGAAAAAGCAGGAACCACACATTAGTGCTGCCTTAATCTGGAATGCAAAGGGAAGCCTACATTTCCATTCCTATAACCCATTTATGGCATGTTATGTTGTACTTAAGCAAATAAAGTTTTTCTCCCCTGGGGATCCATTCACTAGCAATTAACTACCACACAAGCGGGAACTAACTAAACACAGAGAGACATATACATATATTTCACAATTTCCTTTATAAAGGCAAATCCAAAATTGAATTAATTGAGTAGTGCTGGAAGGAAACTATATCGACTAGAAAGGAAACCAAGGTGAAAACCAACATGGTATTGAAGAGATTTGTGCTTGTCAGCCACACAGCAGAAACTCTGCAGGAGAATGGTGATAAATGAAGGCGGTAAAACACCAAGATATGTTGTGAACAGTCATTGTCACTGCTAGCCTGTTAAACGATGTACGGTCCTCTGTGATGTGCAGCTGTGTTTTGGGTATAAAAGACACTATCCTGAGTGGAGACCAAAGCCTACACCATTCACCTTTGACTGATTTTTCTAATTTTGCCCTTTCAGAGGTGATGTCTTAGAGAATTTATCTATGTTAAAGTTAGATGCATGAAAGCACTGGCAAATGTGCTGATAACGCACTCGGCTACCCAGCTTCTTGATGCCATGTTAATGCTCTAAGACTCTTCATGAGGCCGGAGTGTCAAATTGTATCATGTTATGCAATAACGAAAAACAATTAGGAGAGTCAAAGGGGAGGAAGGTGAATGACTGCTTAGATCGGATCTGGCCTGTACACTGTTAGCTGAACAGACTTGAAACAGGAGAGTTAAAAGAGAAGGTCACAAACTATTCTAGGCTGGAACAGAAGAGTGGAGGAGGGAAAAGAGGCCTTCCCTTTTCCTATGATGGGATCTGTTGGGGCATTATGTGTATGTCATTTGAGTCTGAGAATAGGGCAGACTATGTTTCCCGTGCAGTCTCCGTTTTAAACTTAATATTACAGAGTAAGTACATGTAAAAATATAGTCCAGGGTATTCAAAAGGAATACAAAAGACAGGCACATAGTCACCCCTGCAGTACAACTTACATTTTGCTCAAGCTGAAAATCCCAATCCTAAGTGCTACATTATGATGTGACAAAATGCAAGCTATAAAGTAATTCAACTTCACAGCTTTTGCATAGTCCTCATCTCATAACGGCTCCTCCAAAATCACAAGCACTGTGAATTGGAGACTGTCACGATATTGCAGTTATGTCTTTTAAAAGGACAATATCTCTTACTCTGGCATTAATGCAGCTACAAGGGGAAGAAAAAAAAAAAAACAACCCAAACACCACCACCAAAACCAAATTCTAAGCAATTCCTTTTGTAAATCACATGCCAACAGGTGTCTTTACGTTCTCTGGCTCCCCAACAGGCTTCTCATTGGATCTAGGCATCAGAGAGAGACTTGAGTGAAGGACAAGTAGTGGCATGTTTAATTTTGATCAAATTTCTGTAAGAGGATAATAATGAGGAGGAATTAAACTGACATCCGATGGAGAATGAAGGAGAAAGATGTAGAGGATAGACAGAGGTGGTCACATGTACAGATCCAACTTCAGTTTTCTCTGCACTTACTCCATTTGCCTTGCTAAGAGCCTGGAAGTATATGCTATAGCTTTTCAGGGGAGAAAGCGGAGCATTCCAGTAGCCGTTGTAGGTTTTGTTGTCGCCCACTGTGAATGGCTGCGTGGCCGGCAGGTTGATGGGTTTCAGCTCAGCTGCAAAGTAGTGTGGTGAGTCAAGACTGGAAGCGTTCTTGTAGCTCACTGGGACAGAGAAGCATTCAATGATGTCTGCAGCTCTCCGTGCTTTCTGCAGCTTCTCCTCCTTGACAACAAGTTGATAGACACTAGAAGGGAGAGAGGAAGGTAAGATTAGAGCCCCAAGAGCCTTAAATATCAAGAATGTTTCCAACAATAAAAGGAAAAGGCAAAGTAAGAAAAACACTGCTAGGGCATCACAGCAAACACCGTTCTTGGCACACCAGTAACAATGGACACTGCATGCTACTATGTGGGCAAGACGCTAATCACTCGCTCTGTTGATTTAGTTGAGTTAATCAAAGTACACCTTGGTGCAAGTCAGAATAGATTTCAGTCATGTCACACTTTGGGGAAAAAGATTAACTAATAAAATACCCAGTCTATAATGAATTTTTAATATACTTAATATTAGAAAGCAGATGCTTTCTTCTTCAGCCACCGAGTTGAAACACAAATTGGTTGCTTGGGCCAAACAGCGATTGCAGTAGAGGGAGAGCATTAGGTGGCAATGGTGTCAGATCCCTTTTGAAACAGTTTCAGGGTGCAAGAATCAGTTTACATCAAAAAGATTCTCTCGTCTTCTAAGAACCTAATATTTTTTGGCCCTCCCTCACATCTCTTTTTGGGATATATCCTGGGATGTAGAGCTCTCTAACATTAATTCCTGATGGCAAGTCTCCTCCTACCTTCCGTCACTAAAAGGCTGGCTTATGTACTGAGCAGGTGGCTTTAGAGCTCTCCCAATTCACTTTTGTTTCAGGAAGCAACAACAACGCTTCATATTCTTTCCAGCTCTATGAAATGTTAATCCTTTTCGATTCCCACTAAGCTTTTGGCCTCTATGATACGTAATAGCAATCTTGTTATTTCTAGTTTACTATTTCAGGCTCAAAGAGGTTGCAAGGCATTCAAATGCACTCCTTTTTTTTTTTTTTTCTCCCCTCAAGCAGTTAACAAAGCCCTTAAGTTCAATGCTGCTACAGCTGAGGCAGGTTTACTGTCTGCTTAACACCACTCACCCATTTGACAAAGAAAGATACCGCTGCAGTCATTTTATTTTTTGTCAGGATATTCACATGTACTGCCCTCACCTGTCTGTGTGAGACTGGGCCTTTGTTTAGTTAGACAGGGGAGATTGATTAAAAGATTGGACAGAGCCAGCAGCGGATCATTCTCCCGGCTTTCACAGGCTCATTGTTGCAGAAAGATTGGTCTGAAAAATTTCTAGCATAGCCATAGCTCATCAGAGCTTCTGTGGGAAGTGAAGTTCTGGCACTCACAACAAGCAGGAGTGAAACAAAACCTAGCTGATGCTTTTGAATTAGCTGTTACTTCAGGTCTGCAGGTATCTGGCACACTCTTAACAATGAGGTGGTCAGGGAATCACTTGGAAATCATTTGGCTCCCACTGCTAGACACAAAACCAACTAATCTTTACAAGTACGACCAATTTATGAATTGCTTAGTACTGAAGTTGTCCTTATGCAGGCTGCTCCTAATGTCTAATGCAGCAGAAGCACCCACCAGACATATGGATTGCAGCCTTTAATGATGTCCCGTCAGCATTTTGGAAAACTTTCCTCAACCCTCCAGTTCATTAGAGGCTTTAATAAAATATTTTAGACCTTCTCTGGTATTTATTTTACAATTTCTAAAAAGATAAACAGGCTTCCCAGCAACAATTTAAGTATTATCATTGAGGATGTAGCAGGAACTGTAAGCAAAAGCCTGTTTAACCTAAATCCTCCCCTCAGCTTAGCAATAGAAACTTTCAGACTGCCTTTTTGGACACTGTTTACTAACAGACTATCTGCAGATTCTTATTCTGACCCTTCTCTCTGGCAATAATAATCTACACTACTGGGAAAGTTTGTCAGCAACGTGCAAAATTGCAGATGACATTTTTATGGGCGTTTGCCACATGCCTTCTAACCTAAAAATGCTTGGTTTCTACTTTATCCAATCCCAAACGCTTGTCTTTTCTGGTTACAGAAAACGTTTCCTTTATGTATATACATAAATATATATGTATAAATATATATTAATCTCCTTTCAGCCTAGATGCCAAGGGTTCCCTCTTCCGCTACAGTGTCCAAAGGGTGACTCTCATGCTCTTGGTTACCCCACCTGCAAGGCAATGAGCCTCTATACTTGTCTGTCTTTGGAGAAGGGCAAACTCCAGGGACACGAATCGCCAGGTAAGTGAACTCTGTCCCTAACCATCAGAGAACTTACCTTGAAGACATTCTGTTTCTCCCTTGACAGTTCTAATACATGCTCAACCAGTATAGGCACTCTTTTATATCATGAGAAAAGAGTTTTGATACATATAGAACCTAATAACAGATACTCTTTTGCCTGTATTCTTTCACATTTTCACTTTCCTACTTAGCCATTAACGCACTTCTTCCTTTCATGGGGATAACTCACTCTTTTAATGACCTGAAATTTCACTTTTAATGTTTCTTCTTTTGGCATAAATTGAGGTGTCTGTGGAGCACAACGTTCAATGAGCATTCAACTGAAATGTAACAGACGTCCCATTTATGTTCAAGTTAAAACCCCGTTAATCTCCTGCTTGAATACTGTCTCCTTTTCTATGAAACAAGTACCTGAGCTAGCGCTGCTGTCACTGTTCCCTCTAAAACACCCACTCTGGTGAAACTTAGGATGAGCGACTGACTGCTTTCTTGGCATTTTTTTCCTGTATGCCCCAGCTCACACCAACTGACGCAGCATGTTCATCTCTACGTGCTTCACCTGCTTGACTTGGTAACCGTCATCCTTCAGCCTCACTCTTTTCTCCAAGTCTCAGTTATTTGGTAGCGGTCAAGTGGCCGCTCTCAAAGGAAGTGGTCAAGTGACAAAGAGCATGGCTGATTTCAGAGATTACTCTGGACTGAAGATTATCACTCTGAGAAATTGTTTCCCTATCAAACAATTACTCTGGGTCTCGTTTTCTGATATTTTCTTCCCATTATTTTGATCTGTCTAGCCCCTCCAGCAGTGCAGGATTCACAGTTCACCCTTAGCTAGTACACAGATTGGTATAGTCTCATTTTCTTTTTTCTTCTTTTCTGCCATATCTTTGTTTTTCAGGTTACGCGCTTTTCCACATGTTTTGTTTTTACCTAGGAGCAGAATTTCCCTGATTGCCTTCAGGGCATTTTCAGAGATCAACTTCTCTGCATTAACCAGTGAAGTGCTGCAAGGCACATCAAGTGCTTCCACACCCGTTACCATCAGCCTGAGGACGCTCTCCTAACTGTTTGCCTTTTCATAGGAGAAAAAAGCCAATGATCCTAAGTCCAAATGAAATTCCTGGGGGAATTCTGAGTAGCAAGCCTGCAATTACCCACCCTAAAGTTTGGCCAAACCATCTGCATTACTACCACAATTCTCAAAAGACTAAAAGTAATTCAACTTTGTTCAGAAGACGATAACTGTCTGTGATGCATTATGACCCCCAAGATTGAGGTCGAGCACTAACTCAAAATAAACTTGGTAAGTAGGATCTGCCTTTTTGGCCTGCAAAAGCATTTCAGCTGCAATCACATCTCTGTTTCGGTGCTGAGCAGGGTCAACCCTGTGCAACTTGTTACGACTGACAATTTTGTAATACACAGCAGTGTGATTACAACCAAGGGAAAGGAGGAGTACTCTTCCAAAAAGAAGTGCTAGAGGGAAGGAAAAAAGAAGTGGGCAATGGAAATAAGGAGGAGATATCCAAACTATTCCTATTAGCTCTTATTCCGGCTACCAGGTAGGCAGTAACATGGATCTCCTGGGGCTCTCACCCTCTCAAGCTTCAAAGCTACTGCTTCCAGACAGTATCAGCTAACACTGCTTTCATAGCAGGAATCAATACATCAGTTGAAAATGCCCAGCTGGATAGAAGAAAGTTTCAGTGTCATACATTGAAATGATATTAAAAGAGACAACAAAAGCAGAACATTAAAACTCCCAACATTATATAACAACTTCAGTACCAATAAACTGAAAGATGATACAGTAAAACTAACAACTGCATTTCAACTTTTAATATTCAGCCACATTTGCAAACACTGCAATCAAATCCACACATGTGCATGCTGCAGGGCAACAGAAGCAGGGGTCTTGTGTTCCTGGTGCTAAGCTACTCCAAGACACCTCATTGCAACCACTCAATACTGCTGTTCCCATAAATGACAGCAAAGGACTGGTTTCGGAACATCCATAAGCTCTGCTCTCCAGAGAGCTCTCTAGGGATTCTCAAATCTGGGCTACTAACCAAATGCCTGGCTTCCTAGAAGGCTGGGGAGCTGACTGCCCTGCTGTGCAGCTGCACACTTTTATTAGAAAAGGAGGCCAAAACTGGGCTCCTTGATAAATTTCACAGTCTTAGATAGATAAATCCACATTACTTTAATAGAAGCTTTTTGAAGTTTTTAACAGCTCCATTCTAAATGGTGACCAGCCATAATGGTCACCACAGCACAAATGTTGTCTGCAGAGGATGAAAATGCACTCTTATCATCACCTACAAGGTAATCTTTTAAATGATGAGTTCTCTACTCAGTGTGAAAGCACAAGTGCAGATAATCAACATCACAAATCACAGACCATTTCTGTGTAACTGAGATCTCTCTGAGCGCTGTCAGATTTCTCCTCCCCCCGCTCTTGATTTCTTTTTGCGCTGCCTGCAGCGCAATTTGAGGGTGGATTGAGAAGTGCTTGAACACAAATCTAGCCATGGGTTTAGACCAGACTCAAGTTCTGGATGTAGGATGTGCATGAATGTGGAGGGGAAAAGCTGAGTCAGAGCTTTCCATAAAGCATTTAACATCTGGTCGGTGCACTTCGGTATCTTGACATGATACTTACACTTATCAACAAGGTAAAATCTTAGAATCATAGAATCATAGAATCGTTAAGGTTGGAAAAGACCCTTAAGATCATCGAGTCCAACCATTAACCTATCACTGCCAAGTCCACCACTAAACCACGTCCTCAAGCACCACGTCTATCTGTCTTGTAAATACCTCCAGGGATGGAGACTCAACCACTTCCCTGGGCAGTCTGTTCCAATGCCTGAATCTTCACTATA